CAGGAACGCCCGAGCATTCAGCTTCCAGTATCTAAGAGAGCAGGGATTTCCTCCAAGGGTTTCCATGGGCAAGGTTGCTTGCACGGGCCAATCGTTTCATGGTCTATCCCTCTGCTGGTCAGTAAGAGAAAAGATGAATCCCAGAATTTAGGGACCGCAGGCAGCTAATATCAACCATTCCTGGCCAGGATACCTGGTGGTTAGGATCTAGATTAACTGGCTATGGCTGCCTCACGCAACTTCTCTGGACCTTTAGATACACTCGGGCATGTCTGCCCCTTGTGTCCACTGGGCTGTGTGCCCAGCCTGGGTGAGGCTATTGCCATACTGTTTGGGGCTACAGGCCTCGCTCCCACCACAACCCTGTCAGCCTGTGAAGAACAGAGCTGGTATCTATCCTCTTCCACATCTGATGCCTTACATAGGCATCAGCCAGTGTTGAAGGCATTGATTTGTCAGTCCTTCTCTCAATTCGATTGTTAAAGGGGCCACGTTTGGCACCAGTGGCATTCCCACCAACCAGGTCCTTCGCCTCTTTGATGACCGTGACATTCCGTTTCTCAAATGTGGTGGATGTTATTCAGGCAAGGTTTCAGGTAGTGCTGGAAGGTGTCATACCACCCCATTTCCCATGGAGCGCATAGTTCAGCATGAGTCCACGCTCATGCTCTCTTTAAACCCGAGATGCACTTGGAGGTAGGGCGAGAACACCCTACAGAACTCAGCCCCTCGTTTAGACCATGAACACAGCCTCACTTCTGGCCCCTCTTCTCCGGTTCTATGTTGCTCGGCCTCAGATCTGGTTTGGATACCAGTGCTATCTGAGGGCTGCTGGCTCCAGATTTTGCAATCTATTTCTATATTGCTGTTAGTGTTAGTGTTACTATACTCAAAGTCTCACTGGCTCACCTATATGGGGCCATGATAAAAGAAAGACCTCAGGGAAGAACATGTCCCGTGTTTCTGGGTGCAGGTTTTTGTCCCCCATGGCTATACTAGTTATCTGACCAGAGTTGATTGAGTCTAAAACCGAGACAAATACAGAGGCTGCAGAGATGGTTTAGCGGGTAGAGCCCTTGTTGAACAAATGTGGGTCAGCCCTGAAGGAAACAGAAATGGGAATCTTTGTAGTAAACCGGCTAGCCAGGCCAGCAGAAATGGCAAAGTCCGGGTTTAAAGAACAGACCCTGCCTCAATGTATAAGGTGATGAAGCGATGAAGGGGGACACTAGATGTTAACTTCTGGCCTCCACATCATTAACACACACACACACACACACACGAAATAAGTATACAGACACTTATCATGGACCCTTCTGGAATCTGTGTAGAATTCACGGTAGATAGCTTATCTCCTCTGCTAGTACCAAGCCTCCGATGATGCGTGAGTCCCAATTAGTCTTAACAATAAAAATCCAGAGTCAGGTCTTAGGGTGTGAATGAAAGCTGAAAGACCAGAGAAGCAGAGCAGCGGCTACTAGACTTCTTACCTCCGTGAAATCTCAGACTGAATGGGGCCTGCTGTCTCTATGAATCCTTAAGACTGAATGGAGGGGTCCTTAGACTGAATGGGGGCCCTTCTTATATTCCCGTCTCCACCTCCCTAGTGCTGGGATTAAAGGCATGAGCCTCCCACGAGTGGGGATCAGACGTGTGAACCACTTCTGCCTGGCTCTGTTGCTCCTTTAGACGGGTGGCCTTGAACTCTTTCTGGCTTCCTCCTCCCAGTGCTGGTATTAAAGGTGTGCGCCACCTCTGCCTGGCCTCTTTGGTTAACTAGTGGCTAGCTCTGTCCTCTGATCTCCAGACAAGTGTTACTTGTCAGAATACAAACAAAATATCATCAACACTGATACGGTGCCGAGGGCTGCAGGTTCACCTTCCTGTGTGTCTCACCAGCCTAACAACAAGTCACTGGTAAATAAGGTCCTTCAGAGTTGAACTCGTCCAAGTGCCAAAACACCGAAATATATTTAAAACATCAAAGTGTTGAAAAATCTAGTTGCTCCAGATGTGTTCACATCAGCGGAGTGAGAGCCAGATGGGTTTCCTCCTCAGATGACAGCAGTCGGTAGCCCTGGAACTTTCTGACTTGTTTCAACGATTGCAGTACAACACTAAGAAAAAAAAATATTCTCTGTAACCAGATATTGTGGGCCAAGAAAACCAGCATTTTTTTTTTTAACCTTACCTTGGCAGTTGGCAGAATGAATGACCAGGGTGACCCCGCCCTGCAGAGCACATGATCCGTCACAGCTGTGCATGTTTTTTAGCATGACTGCCAGGACAGAGCTCCAAGCCACTGGGTGGAGCCGTGTGCCCCTGGGAGAAGGCTCATGACATTTCCCCTATGATTTCAGGAAAGAAAAAAAAATTCCTTTTTCTTTCTTTTTTCTTTTTCTTTTCTTTTCTTTCTTTCTTTCTTTTTTTTTTTTTGCTTGTAAGTTGTTTCTGCACAATGTCAACAGAAAACTTCCTTGTGTTTATGTATATCCGTGCGTGAATATGGAAATGTCAGCCTCTGCTATAACAGGCTAAATGCACACCTCGTTTGACCTTAGAGTGGAGGTCAATCAGGCGCTTGTTGCTAGGAAGCTGCTTTCTTAGCCTCTGCTTCATGCTGTTCCCTTCATAAGAAGCCTGATTGTATTTGGACTGGTAGCCAATCCAGCTAAATGACAGTTCCTCAGCCCCTCTCAGAGAGTCAGACTCCAGCCCACGAGACAAGTGCTGTGCTGTGCTGTGCGGTGCGGTGCGGTGCGGTGCTGTGCACGACTCCCAAATAGGAAGTTTCAGACACCTCAATCCCACTGAAAGGCCTTCTCCCTTCAGCTTGGCTTCCTTCCCATTTCCTTTGCTTGGAATGTCACCCGCTGACTGGAACATCAGGAGCCATCCAGGAACTTTTGATGCCCTTGAGGAGGGAAGCCCCAGACCAGTGTGATGAGGCAGTGTGAGAAAAGAAGTCTGGATGGCCCAGAACACCCTAACACGCTCAGTTTTCACCTACTTCTGTGAAAGAAGATAAGACTTTTGTTTAAACATCTTTTTTTGTTTGTTTTTGTTTTTCAAGACAGGGTTTCTCTGTAGCTTTGGAGCTTGTCCTGGAACTCGCTCTTGTAGACCAGGCTGGCTTTGAACTCACAGAGATCCACCTGCCTCTGCCTTCCCGAGTGCTAGGATTAAAGGCATGCGCCACCACTGCTCCGCTTGTTTAAACATCTTATAAAGGGTTTGCAATGTATGAAACCTATCAATCATATCTATCCAAAGCGCGGAGAAAGAGGGGAAAATAATAATAATGTTCATGAGTAAGGAAAACCAACAAACAGCAAACCACTGTCACAATAGCGAAGAAGACTTACTACCTGAAGGATGCCGTGGCCTACGCCTTTAATTTAAATACTTGGGAGGCAAAGTCAGGCAGATCTCTGTGTTGGAAGCCATCCTGGTCTACAGAGTTCTAGGATAGGCAGGGACTCAATACAATAACCCTGTCTTGAAAAACCAAAAATAAACCAAAGCTAGATAAACAGTAAAGAAATGAAACACTCCAGGACTCCAGTGTGCTTAGTAATTCGCACGATAACGCTGACATTGAAAACCATTCTTGAGATACTTTCACATCTGTGAAATATTGAATTGTATACAGTATGTGCTACTTAGGGGTAGGTTAACTGTCTTATGTTTGGATATTGCCCAACTATTCCAAGGTTTCAAGGCTTATTATATAATTTGAAATTTTAAAGAAGTCAGATATGTCACTTAAGGCTAATGAAACTTCAAGGTATCTCTGACTGCAAATATTTTATTTCTGAAAAGCTCAGTGATTAAAATCTTGTAAAATAAATAAAATTAGTGTGATTTTCATCTTAAAGATTAGAACCATAGTAGTAAATAGAAATCACAAGAGACTGGAGCGTTTTTATTTACTTATTTATTATTTTTTAAAAATTTATTTATTTACTTATTTATTGGGACAGGGTTTCTCTGTAGCTTTGGAGCCTGTCCTGAACTACCTCTTGTAGACCAGGCAGGCTGGCCTTGAACTCACAGAGACCCTCCTGCCTCTGCCCCGACAGCTGGGATTAAAGGCGTGGGCCACCACCGCCCAGCTATTTATTTATTTTTAATGATAGACCTCCCGAGTGCTGGGATCCACATTGCCTGGCTGAGACTGGAACTACTTTAAACAATAAAAATGGTTATGAATTAAATAATTTAAAACTTTTTTTCAAAGGTTGTTGACAGTGATATTGAAAGACGGGTGGGTTGAACCGTCTGTGGAGCAGAATGACAATAGATCCTCTATTTACTGCCTTCGAGAAAAGTTGCCCTGGCTGTCCTTAGCTTTTTAGCTGGAAGTTCTCGTGGGAAATTGTTAGGGAACGAGGCTGAAAGTCCACACCCTGAAAAGGGCCTCACTAGGGTCAAGGCAGTTTGCATATCTTCCCCTCTCTTTCATTTCACAAGCAAAAAACTGAGGCCTCAAGTACGCTGTTTGGCAGTTTCTGCAGGCCCTGAGGGAACTTTCAGATCTGGCTAGTGAATGAGAGACAAAAAGGATGACTTCTAACAACCTCCCCTAACCGCCCCCCACCGTAAAAGTACAGTTCAAGGGGAGGAGCCGTAGGGCGGAGCCTGGAGATGGGGCGGAGCCGGTAGGGTGAAACAAGGGGAGGAACTGTTGATGCCCAGCCGGGTGAGGCCCTAGAGCCATGGGGCGGAGTCTGGGAGGAGGCGGAGCCAGATGATGAGCAGATCTGTGGGGCGGGGCCGAGGCTAGGGGGCGGGGCTTCCGGAGGAGGTCGCCTGTAGGAAATGGAACGAGTCGGGGCGCGGTAGGCTACTGACGGGTGGGAGGCGGAGCCACTGGCCCCTGAGTGTGAGAAGGTGGGACTAGGGGGGGCGAGTACTGGGCGTCGTTCTGCACAGCACACTTCGGGGGCGGGGTCTGAAGGCAGGGGGCGTGTCTGAGCTCCTGGACTTTACGCTGTCTGCGCAGGCCCAGGGTGCGTGCCGTGGTTCCGGTGGGTGGCTAACATGGCGGCCTCCACCTGGATGCGCGCGGTCCTCCTGTTTTTGTGTGCCTCGGACCTGCTGCTTCTTCCTCCTCCTGGGGCCCGCGCGGCCGACACGCCGGGCGAAGCCACCCCACCTCCGCGGAAGAAGAAGAAGGACATCCGCGATTACAATGATGCCGACATGGCGCGACTTCTGGAGCAGTGGGAGGTCCGTGCTGCCCTTACTCACGGGCATATCTTCATTCAGACCCCTTCTCTCTAACCTTTACCCCCTTGGTCTTGTGACCCTCTGACTTCTATCCCCCGATCTCTCGCCCTGTCCTGTACCCAGGGCCCTTATTGACTCAAGTTACTGCGGATAACCCCCCCTTCCTGTGCCTTCATTCCACCATGGCTCAGGCCTCTCTCCCCAGTGTCCGTAAGCCATGACTTCTCGGCTACCCCAGTCAGGATTTAGCGCCTCACCAGTCAAGCCCCGCTTTCCCTGGTGGGCCCCGGTGGTCTCTACATTGATACAGGCGGGCAGTGAGCCTGCAAACGGAGAGAGCACTTCTGAAGAGCGTTCCCTTACTCCCCCTCCTGTTCCTGAGTGAGTGGGTTGTGAAGGTTGTCTCTCGAGAACGTTTTTTAGCTTTGATAGAGATCCTTCCAAATATAGAGGATGTTTCCGATTCCTTTGGTGTATGTTCCTGCTGGGGCATTTGTAATTTCGTGGGTGGATTTATTTTACTGGTGGGGGGAGCTAAGGCATCTCATGTGGAACTCAGGTTTTTCATCCGAGGAAACAGTGGACTTGTTTTGTGAGAGGTCGTTTTCTGGTCAGTTACTCGAACGCACCGGGGTGTGTAGTCCCAGTGAGAGTGTATAAGGTGACCAGAAGCACATTGCAGCCTTCCCCCTTTCCGAAAGCAATTGCACCGTCATATTTGATTTGCACAGCTGATGGATGGTACCCACGGTGAACGTTGTCTCTTTCTGCAGAGATCTCCCAAGGTGTGTTTCTGATGCTGGTGTTTTGACTTGTAGCTAACTCTATATTATTAGATGGGTAAAGACTAAGTTGAAAGCAGCCATCTGCTGAATTTGTCTAGAAGAAAGGGGACTTTTTTTTTTCTATGTTGTCTGTACCCAACAGAAAGATTGAAGTAGAGGGGCCGCGGTAGTGCACGTTTTTAATCCCAGTACTTGAGAGATTGGTGAAGGAGGCTAGCCTTAGTTAAACCTGAGCCACATAGTAAAATTTCCAACTAGTTTGGGCTTCACAGGGAGACCCTGTCCCCAAAAGAGAAAAGAAAAATATGATATGGGTGAGTATCACTAATGAGGAATCCTCTGTCTATTTCGAACTGTCTTTTTTGGACTCTAGTAAACAAGGCCTTTTCATTTGCCAAGGTGAGAACCTTATCTTGTGAAAAGCTTTGTCATGGTCAATATAGTACACTGAAACATCAGGCTCCTCTAAAGAGAAGATGCAGCAAGCACATCAGAAGTCCACAGGGAAGGGGGTTGCATTAGACAGGAGAGTACGTGAGAAGAGTCTGAGAGAGACCTGGGCTTTGGGCAGAATAGCAGAGACCAACCAGTTAACATTCAGTACACTTGAACTTGTGAATTTGGTCTGGTACAGATCTCTGTGCCGTAGTTTCCTTATATGCATGATGGAAGTGTTGATGTTCATCTCCAAGCAGTTGCAAGTAATAACTGAGAAAACTGGGTGAACTTGGAAGAGTACAACTCGTCATCGGTATCAAGTGTCAGAGCTAATTAATTTCGGCTGTGTCTGAAGCAAAGTACTAGTGAGTGAAGGTTGCTGGGAATCAGGCCAGCGAGGTCTTTGAACACCTTAGGGCCTGTGCTGTATTTAGAAGTCGTGAATGTTTGGATCTGATGGGGATAAAAGTTGTGTCCCAGACATCACAGCACTAGATCCCATACTTAATCATCTCAACCCTGTTTCTAGTCTTTCTTTGTGAAAACATAATTTTAGTAGCTGTAATCAGTGCAGATGGACTTTTAAAAGTTGGGTTTGTTTCCTGTGATAGCTATTAAATAGTTCCCTTTGTACCATCTTTATAGCTATACTATACTTTTTTGTTGTTTTGTTTTGTTTTTGAGACAGTTTCTCTATTTAGCTTTGGAGCCTGTCCTGGAACTGTGAGTTGAACTCACAGAGATCCACCTGCCTCTGCCTCCACCCCACCCCCACCATGTGCCCTGGAGCTATGGAGGGGTGGTGGGTAAACTGGCAAGGCTTTGAAGTCTGCTACACAGTATCTTCTTTAATCCTACTTGGGTGATAAGGAGGACTGTTTCCTGAGGGCTGACCCTGAGGCAGCCGGAAGCAATTTGCTCAGGGTCACAGCAGGTTAGCCCAGTTTGGAATTCTGTCCCTTGGCTTCAAGAGCCTGTTCTTTGGCTCACTTAGCTACACTGCTCCACACGTTGGTGTGCACTGTGCAGGTGGACTGTAGCCACTACAGATGTGAGCTCCCTTCCCCAGCAGCCCTGCTTCTCCTAGAGGAGAAGGTTCTTCTGCAGTGCAATCTTTAAACTGCTCTGATGTCTTCCTAATAGCACGACTGTTTCCTGAGGGCCCTGCCTCAGGTATGTGGAGAGTTGGGGACTCTGTGTTCAAACTGATGGTGAGTCTCAGCTGGCACAGGAAATACATGTGTGATTTTTGTGGAGGCCAGAGGGATTGACAGCCAGAAATATATATTTATCTTTGGCATCAGATCTTCTAGTATATGTGTAAATTGTGCTTGTTCTTTGAGGGTCATCTGATTCCTTCAGTGGAGAACTTAAGCAGTTCACTGTACAGGTTGGAGATACAGTGTGTCCAAATGGACTATTATAGTAACTCAGCAGATGGTCACTATTATCAAGGCCCCTGAAAGAACAGAGTACAGCTTGGTTGTGTACAGACTTCTGTGGGGCTTGGAGAAACGAGTTAAAAATGGGAGACTGCACACAGCCAAGTGTGTGGGGCAAACCTGTAGTTCTGGCCGTGGTCCTGCTCCATCTTATTCCCATGGGCGGGGTCTGTCACCGAATCTGAAACTAGGCAAGTGGCCAGCAGACTCCAGCCATTTTCCTCCCTCTAACCCCAGTGTTAGGATTGTAGGCCTGAGAGACCATGCCCAGCTTTTAAGTCTATATTAATTTGATGTGAGCCACAGGTCAGAGAACGAGCTGGTGTGGGCAGTCAGCTCTTTTCCTCCACCATGTGGGTTCTGGGGATTGAAACTGGGTCATCAAGTGTGCCAAGGCAAGCGACCTTTGTCCACTGAGCCAACTCAACTGCCCTTTTGGGGATTTTTCTTTTTTCTGTTGTGTGCATTCTTTCTATTTATTAGTTATTCTATTTATTAGCTATTTATTGATATTCTACTGTTAACAACGCATTTTTTTCTCTTTCATTTCTGATGTCAGTATGGACTTTATTTGGTGTTATAAATCATTATTATTCTTGATGTTCGTGTTATTCCAAATTTGGTTCTTGAGCTGCTTCAGGTTGGCGTCTGTGTCGTTCTGACGTGGTGTGTGATTCATTGAGTACTTCTTCCTGGCGCAGAGATATTTAAGGTTTCTTTTTTGCTTCACAGGCAATGATTAGGCTTTTCTTCAAGGAACCTACGCTTTAATATTTTTATCCATCTACTCTGTCATCTACTTGTCCAATCAGTCTGTGCCTATCACTCTAGTCTGATCCCACAAAGCACAGTCTCCTTCCATGTTTGCATCTTCTCCCGAGTGAAGAATCTGCTGTAGTCGCCCTCAGCAGGTCTGCACCTTGTCCCGTCCCTAGAATCCGCAGAAGGTGGTTTCAGAAGTGCTAGGTCACAGCACTGCATAGGGCAAGCCTGCACCCTTGGGATTGAACACTTGTACGCAGTGGATTACGGGTTTTAAGTACGCATCACGAAGAGTTTGTTTGTTTTGCTCTGCTGGGGATGGAACCCAGGACCCTGGGCATGCTAGAAAAGCACTGTCATTGAGCCCACAGTGAGTTTTAGATAGTGTAACCCACACTTCTGAGTCGATGAGGTTACAGACCATCACACCAGATGTTCCTTCCTGTTCGTTCTGTCCCCGTTCTCAGTCTGACCCCTCCCGTCTTTCTCCCAAGGCAATCAGTGTTCTGATTTGTTTCAAATTGGTTTTTGTCACTGCACATTTTCCCTGTTCCTGACGCTGTACACAAATGGAACTGTACGGTCTGCCTTTGTGCCTGTCAGGTGTTACTTTTTAACAAAGTTGTCTTGGTGGTTTTGGACATTAACCCCAAGGCCTCGCTTAAGCTGGCCTTGAATTCTCCATCTTTCTCCTTGATCTTCTGAGTAATTGGGATTATGTACCTTAGCCCCTATGCCTGTATTTGAAATTTGTTGTAAGAGTATTTGATTTTCGTTGTTAGGTAGCATCCATAATACCTGGATGTGGCTGTTTTTGTAATCTACCATGTTGGGTAGAGTTTTTCAGAGTGAACACATCATAGAAAACTGTATAACACAGGAACCCTGAGTGGTGTTAGGGATCTTTTGTTTGTAGTAATTTGGTAGTGTGTGCCCTGCTTCTGACGTGCCGGGGAGTATCTGTGCAATTGGAGAGTCTTATGACAGGGTTAATGTCCTCTCCTGGCAGAAAGATGACGACATAGAAGAAGGGGACCTTCCAGAGCACAAGCGACCCTCCGCACCCGTCGACTTCTCAAAGCTAGACCCAGGCAAGCCTGAGAGCATCTTGAAAATGACGAAGAAAGGGAAAACGCTAATGATGTTTGTCACTGTGTCCGGGAACCCCACTGAGAAGGAGACGGAGGAAATTACCAGCCTGTGGCAGGGCAGTCTGTTTAATGCCAACTATGATGTTCAGAGGTAAAGACCCCACGCTAGATCGCTTTTCTTTTTTGCTTTTTTTTTGGGGGGGGTTGCATTTGATGTTTAAAATGGGGTTTTACTATGTAGCTCTAGCTATTTAGTCCAGCTGGCCTCAGACCCCCCTGCCTCTGCCTCCCCAGCAGAGATTGCAGCTCTGGATCACCTGACCTGCATGTATGCTGCGGATTTTTCTGGGGCTGAAGCAGAGTGTCCTTTTTTGACAGGCTTCCCAATGACCTTGGACTTTTCTTGTCTATGAACTCTTTTAAGTTTATTTAAATATTTAAATTTATTTAAATATTTTTTTCTTTAAACTCTTTTGGGGGGTAGTCAGTAGGTTTTAATATATTGTTTGGTGTTGAAAGTTTTGTTTATCTTTGTCTCTAACTTTTGCTTCGTTTGTTCATCCTAATAGAGTTGTATTGCTTAGCCTCTTAGAAGGCTGAGTGAGTTGCACTCTCCAGTCTGTGGTGCAGCTGTATTTATACATGCAGCTGTAACAGGTGACTGATAATAGTGTGAAGGTCTTTGTCAGAGACCTTATGATCTTAAAATACGATCGGAAAGGTTCTCCTTTATATACATTTCATACGTGTACTTTTGACCATGTTCAGCACCCTGTCCCCTACCCATCCAGCTATGAGTGTCCCCAGTTTTTTAGAGCCTGCTTTTTCTCAGTAGTTCTGAAACTCTAGGTCTTCAGATGTTATAAGAAAGGAAGGGGTGAGAGATGGAGCGGGAGTTCCTGAGCGTGCACAGGCCAACACGCTCCTTCTGCAGCCTCATCAGCTTGTCTGGTAATGGCTGCTCATGCTGGAAGCCTTGCTCCTGAAAGGGGCAGGTGTGGTGTGCTCAGAAACAGAAGCATTGTGCCCTCTGACCATGATTTTGTGTGTCACCCCCACCCTTGCTGCTCTGTTTTGCTTCCTGGGCCCTGCAGAGTGAGGATAAGCTGACTGCTTGCTTCTGACCTTGGTTAGGATTTCTGCCTGCTTGTCAGGTACCCTTGTCCAGGTACCCTTGTCGGCCTTGAGGAGGGACCATGTAGTACCTGCTCTAAGCCAGTGACTTTATCCTTCTCAGTCAAGACTTTTTGTTAAACAAAACTAATTAGAGACTTCAGAACATAAAAATGGCTGGGCACAATGGCATATGCCTGTAATCTCAGCACTTGGGAAGTGAAGTCAAGAGGATCTGAAGTTCAAAGTCGCTCTCATATGGTGTCATCTTTGAGACTTTTTATGGTGGGGGAAGAAAACAAAGCCAACTCCCCTCTTCCTGCCTAAAAAAAAGTAACACAGAAATGGAGGTGACATTTCAGAATGTTAAAGATAAAAACAGAATTCCTCCCACCTCTGTTAGCCTACCTGTGCCCCCTCCACCGCCCTCTAAGGAGTTTTTCTTTTATAGTCTCTTGACAAGGGCACCATTTATGCCCCAGGAATTGAGCATCTGCTTCAGTCTAGATCCAAACAGGATGTTTGTTTAGAGTTCAGCGAACATTAAAGTCAGCAGCCGCTTGGCCCAAGGCAGTACAGTGCAGTGTTGTGTATTTGTGTGGAATTAACTAGCATTGCTAACCGGTGGCTTCTCTGTCTAGGTTCATCGTGGGATCAGACCGCGCTATCTTCATGCTCCGGGATGGGAGCTATGCCTGGGAGATCAAGGACTTTTTGGTTGGCCAAGACAGGTGTGCTGATGTCACACTAGAGGGACAGGTGTACCCTGGCAAAGGAGGAGGAAGCAAGGAGAAAAATAAAACAAAGCCAGAGAAGGGTAAAAAGAAGGAGAGAGATGCCAAGCCGCGGGCTTCCAAGGAAGATAATCGAGCTGGGAGCAGGAAAGAGGATCTCTAGCAGGCGGCCAGCTTCCCCCCGGGCAGGCAGGAGCCTGCATTCCAGACGACATTCTCATGTCTTCTAGAGGGTCAGTGTGTGACCTGGTCAGTATCGCAGTTACTGTATGAAGGCTTCACATATGGAGACAGGCTTTGTGACTGGTAGTGGACACTGGCAAGTCATGCTAACTGTGGCATCGCCTACACGGGAACCTGATAGCCGTTCTGTACCTCTTATGCTGGCGAGTCCTTGACGTCTCCAGGGTGCCGCTCCCACCTCTTCACTGCTCTCGCCAGACAGCCTGAGAACCCGCGGCTTGACTGAGGCAGGCAGTGACTGTCAGTCAGTGAAGATAAGTGTGCTGTGTGAGCCGTGCAGCTGGCTCTGCACACCCAGGGTCCCGACAGCCAGCTCGTGCGGGATGTACGGGTTCACGAGACGCGCCACCCGAATCCCGAGGAATCATTTCAGATGAGCCCTCCTCATCAGTCCAGGAGCCCCACTGTCTGCCAGTCTTCCTGGGGTTGGAGAGGGAACGCGGTTTGTTCTGACTCGTGTGAGGAGAGAAGGGCGCTTCAGTTGAGGGCTCATGCTCTCGTGGCCCGACAGCTGTGACGTTGGCGAGGAGGGACCAGCAGAATCTTCCGTCACGTGGACCTCACATACAGCATTTCTGAGTGGTTTTCTTTGATAAAGTGCCTGAACTTGTGCTTTCGGATGGTTCTCTCGTGGTGTGCTGTTGCTCACATCCGGGTTTTGCTGTTTGTAGGTTGAAGCCTATCTAAAAGAACATTTCTATGAGGAAGCCTTTTCTAAGAACCTACATTCTTTAAAACCTCGGTTGTGATTGTAAGCAATTCAGAATGGTACATGCACTCATACATGGCTAGGAAGTGTCACCGTTAGAGCGCTGCGGTGTGAATTGCCCCTGCCCTGCTGCCGGTAGTTTGTCCCAGTGGAGCTACTGCTGATCGTTTGTTTTTCAGAAATAAAGTACGTTTACCAGCTTCTGGTGATGTATATATTCTGTCCTCGTTTTGGCCCCTATTCATGTTTCTCCTAGTGAGCCACACCCTCTCCCTCCCCAGCTCAGGGTATCCTGGATGCAACCGGCTGTTCTTGGTCCTCGCGCATTGTGAGCCTGGGAAGATGATCTGCTGTTCTTTTGAGGGTGCTGCCAGTTCAGAAGCTGGGCCAGGGCACCCAGCCTCGTATCTGGACCCAGCAGATCACTGGGGTTTTCCTGTTTGCACACGAGGCAGTTGGTTTGCTACTGTCATGTCTGTACCGCTTGTCCCGTAGCCGGAAGCCTTCATGTTGCAGACTCAGGGCTGTCGCTGCTTTCTGTGTGGTATGTACCCATTTGACCCAAATTTCATGCATCATCTGAGATGTACTTGGTGATGCCGGGTCCCAAGAACAGTGCAGACACGACAGACATGACAAAATGACCTTAAAATGGTGACCACGGGGCGAATGGAAGAATGTGGAATGGAGGAGACCAGGTGAGCAGAATCCTTACCTTGTTGGGATGGTCGGCTGCTCCACCAAGGGTCTGCTGAAATAGTCAGAGGGAACAGCCCTGCAAAGGAACAGGAAAGGGGACTCCAGGAAGCCTCTGAGGAGTCTGGGCTGGGGAGGGAAGCCTGCTGGGATTACTGGAGTTCCGGAGTGCCTGAGCGGCTTCGCATAAATTAGTACCATGATAGAACCGAGAGCCTCTCAGTGCTTAGACCATTGGCCTCCCAGGTTTACAAGTAGGGAGGCTTCAACCTGCATTCATTCCATGTTTCTTGTCCTAGTTTCTGACTGTGTGCTCCAAGCTTTTATTGCAACTCAATTGAAATCCAGACACATCTAATGATCTCGCCTAATTATGTTTTTTATATTTTTAAATTGATTTTTCTTGAGCTCTGCACTTTTCTTTGTTTCCCTCCCTGCCTCTCATCTCCCCTTCAGCCCTCTCCCAAGGTCCCCACACTCCCAATTTACTCAGGATATCTTGTCTTTCTACCTCCTATATAGATTAGATCCATAATCTTGCCTAATTGTGAACACTGCCCAAACTGCCTGGTGTTTTCTCTCCTTCAAATCTTGTGTTCAAGTTTCTCAAGCACAAGAAGGGGGGGTGGGCTACAGTGCTCCTTTGAGTCAAATAGAGTAGAAATAAAGAAGTTCTTTTATTGCCCAGAATTGTTTTGGCTGTCCTGGGTTTTTTGCTTTTCCAAATGAAGTTGAGTACCATAAATCCTTGATTCGTATTAGCAGGTTGTGATAGCTCTGGCTTGCACTTCCAGCCCTTCAGTGGCTGGGGGGGGGGGGGAGAACAAGGCAACGGACACTGCAAGTTCAAGGCCAGCCTGGGCTAACCAGCAAGACTCACGTCTAGAATAAATAATAAAACCACGGGAATGGTTAAAATATCTTGGGCTGATTAGATATCTCAACAGGTAAAAGTACTTGGTGAAAACCTGGAAAAAAAAACCTCTAAACCAACAAACAAAAAACTGAGTTTGATCCCTGGGTTCCACAGTAGAAAGACAGGGTCAGCCCCAGAAAATTCTTCTTTACCCCCCCGCATACCTATGGCACTCTGTGCGCATGCACACACCACACCACACAATAAGAACACGCAAGCGAAGACATGGGTGTGATGGTGAACACCTATAACCCAACACTTGGGAGATGAAGGCAGAAAACCCGGCAATTCAAAGTCACCCTCAGCAACGGCGGGGATTCAGGGCTGGTTGGGCCTTAAGACTCCATCTCAAACAGAACAAAACAAGAACTTCCTCTCCTGACATATTTCTCACTTGATTAAGTTTCCTTTGGGGCCACTGTCTCTGACCATCGTCTCCAGACTGCTGTCATCATAGGAGAAAGAGGATTTCCTTTGTTCTTGTCTCCGTCTCCCGTCTGGGCTCTGCTCAGCAGTCTAGTGGCTGTAACACCTCCATCCTCGTAGTAGACCAGAATTTCTCTTAGGCTTTTACCGATGACGTCATGGAGAAAGCAGGGCCAGCTGTGGCTCCAGAGAAGACTGCGGAAGCACTTGAGCCAGGTCAATCCTGTCTCTGGAGCAGGGCCCCAGACCTTAGCAGAACTGATTCCGTGATGGAAGTACCATTCAGGCCATAAAACTCAGGATGTAGACAGCCCCACCTGCCAAAATGAAAACAGAGACCTCCTTTATCAAAGTCTCTAGCTCCGGGAAAGCCTCTAGATGTACTAACCTGGCTTTTTGATTTCCGTAGTTCTGCTTCCGTAGTTCTTCTAACCGTTCTTGTTAACTGAAGTATGTCATCCCAGGATATGGTTTTTGTGCTTAAAAAATCTCACCCCAAGAAAGGTCTGGGGCTACACAGGGATCTGGAAAACTGGTATAGTTGCTGGCCAGCTAGGAAGATCTCTTGGCTTACGCGCAGGTCCGAGTAGTCTTCTCTGGTGGGTAGCCCACCACAGACAGGAGGTCTGTCTCTTTCTAGGAGTATCTGCTGCAGCCCAAGGCTCCAGACACCCTGCCAGCCTGCTCAACCTACCTTGCTGTTCTACTTCCTGGATGGCCATAGGGACCAGAGATGAACACCTCATCTCGGGGCATCCTATATGAGGTTGGCAAGTCAGATCCTCCTCGGCCAGAGACGGACTGAATGGCTGAGTTCTTGTGATGGACAGCTAGGTGGAAGGCGCAGCTGCAGAGGCGTCTGTTTAGCCTGGCTCTGACTTTCTGCCCCGGGTTGGGTCTCTCGAGGTTGCTATTGAGTTCTGAGAGTTCAAGATCCCTGAGAGCAACTTTGGAGAAGCTTCTGCACTTCTGACTTCTACTTCCTCCCCAGCTTTGCCTTGTTTTGTTCGATCCACACGTAAGAAGGAGCAGAGAGGAGCACACAGGGCCTGTGCTGGTCACTGCTCATTCCTTGCTGCGATGCGAAGTGACTTGTTAGTCCTGAACTTAGAGTTCCTACTGAAATTAGTCCTCTCATGTTAATGTGAAGGTTCCCGAGGCAAAGATATCTTCTACTATATGTTACCATTTCCTGAAAGGGTTGCACCAATCAATTCACCACCCCGTTCTGGGAGAATGGGAGCAGACCCATCAATCCAGGTGCCCAGGGGGATCAGGCCATATTGTCAACTCAACAAAACACAAACAAAACACCCTTATTGGTCATTTAGGTGCCAGGCATAATTTTATAATGGGTGAATAACGTTAGCCTGACTTAATCTGTCGGCTTTATTGAGTGAGATTCCTGCCCCTGTGCTTAGAGAAAACCAATTCCTAGTCAGTGAGATGGCTCAGCTGGCAAAGGTGCTTGCCGCCGAGCCTGTCCTCCCGGCTCTGATCATCAGACACACCTGGTAGAAGGAGAGCAGTAACTCTGACTTTGGCGTGCCTGCCATGTGGTGTGCACACCCTCCCTTCACCGCACACAATAGTTAGGATACAAGTTTTGACTGAGCATGGTGGTGCACGCCTTTAATCCCAGCACTCTGGAGACAGAGGCAGGAGGATCCCTGTGAGTTCCAAGTCAGACAGGTCTACAAAGAAAGTTCCAGGAGAGCCAGGGATATTACACAGAGAAACCCAGTCTTGAAAAAAATAAAAGAAAAACCAAACAATATATTTTTAAAAGCCAATTTTTGTTGTGAAATAATTTCCCTTTTCTCCTCCATTTCTTTCTTTCCTGCTTTTTGAGAGAGGTTGTTTTTGTTTTTATTACTTTGAGACAGGGTCTCATTAGCCTTGGTTGTCTTGGAGCTTGCTACATAGACCAGGCTGGCTTTGAACTCAGAGAGATCTACCTGCCTCAGCCTGCTGAGTGCTAGGATTAAAACATGTGCCACTTCACCTGGCTAATAATTTACTCTTCTGCCTTTTAATCTTGGTGGTCTTTGTTAATGAAAAACATTGAAAATGGCAAGAATGGGAAGAGTAGAATGGATCAGTGGGTGGAGGTGCCTGCTACTGAGCCTGGCAGCCTAAGTGTGCTCTCTGGAACGGAAGAGCAGTTCCTGCAAGTTGTCCTCTGATGTCCACATGTACGAGGGACACACATGCACACACACACACACACACACACACACACAATAAAATAATGGCAAGGAGTTAGAACGGGCATTTGGGTTGCAGCTGAGATGATACAGTTACAGCGGAGTGGGCTGAGGTAGAAAGGGTAGTGATTTAACTTGGGAAGTGAGAGCTCCGCCTCCTTCCCAAGACTCCTGTCAATCAGAGGTGGTGGCACACCCCTGAAGCCATGCACTTGAGAGACTGAGGCAACAGAAGTGTGAAAACTGATTTTTAAAAAAGGCTTCAGTCCATTGATGTAAAGTTTTACGTTCTCTTTTCTTTACAGTCTGAAAAACAAAACAGCGCCTGGGAAGTGGTTTACAGTCGACAACTCTCAACACTGTCTTCCCATTCAGGAGCTGGTTTGCAATTTGAGCGTTGAGTCCACTAGGAGGCAGCAGAGACTGGCTGTGCGGCTGCCGCGCCAGCCTATCGGTGTCTCCGCCAGTTCTCTGGGGAGAATTTTCCCGCGGTTATTCATTGCTCAGCCGTGCTCAGAGTGTCTTGTGAAAGATCTGCCTGCACCTCTGTCCCTCAATTTCTCTTTGAAATACAAATGATTGTTTTACCCCTGTGGGTGATTCTTCAATGGTACATACATTTATTAGGTTGGCGAGACTGTTCGGTGGGTAAGGAAACCTGACACACCATGCTGATGACCTGGGTGTGAGCGTGAGGATTTACTAGGTGGAAGGGAAGGACCAACTCCTGAAATTTGTCTTCTGACTTACAAGCATCATGACATGTGACCACCACCCAACACATTTAAAGTAATTTATATCACTCTCAACAGCTCTATGTGGTAGACTCTCTCTCTCTCTCTCTCTCTCATATATATATATACTTATATACATGCACACACACACATACCTTACACACAGGGAAGCAGAAGCCCAGAGAAGTTAACATCAATGTTCAACCACAAAGGAATGACAA